TCAACGATGCTACCACAAACTATATGAACCCAATGATGCCGTGACCGAAGAAGCCGTTGCAGGACCATCCAGAATCGCTGCTGCAGGTACGTTATTTGAAAATTCATGTGATTCTTCTTTAAATTTCAATTCTTTTCTTCTAACCACTAACTTAAACTCTTCTTTTTTGCAATCATTTTTCAGAGCCCATCGAAGCAACCAGCATTGAATCAATTTCCGTTGCGGGACCGTCCAGAATGGTTTCTTTTCCCTGCCAAGGTAAATAATAAAAAAATAAATCATTTGTATGTTTTTTTTCTAATAATCAATCATTTTTTATATTTATTTTCAGAATCAGTGGAAACAACCAGTTCTGAATCGATCGTTACCACCTACAACGCACCTTTGTCGGACGAAAATGAATTCCTTATACAACTTAACGATAAATATAAAGAAACAAGAGACAGCAATGAGCGATACAGGATTTTAACCACACTTCCCAAAAGTTGGTCTACATATAGAATTATGAAGGAGTTCAATGTTTCCCAACATATGGCCAACCAAGCATAAGCACTGCAGCAAGAGAAAGGAATAATGTCGGTGCCTGTAAAGAGGTTAAGCAGAGCTTCATTAGGAGAACCAACGATAATGCTTGTTCGTGATTTTTACAATAGTGACGATATAAGTCGTGTTTGTCCGGGGAAAAGAGATTATTTAATATCTAAAAATGATGAAGGCGAAATCTACGTACAAAGAAGATTTGTTTTGTGTAACTTGCAGGAGGCGTACTCCATCTTTAAAAATACATATCCTGATATTAAAATAGGATTTTCCATGTTCGCCAGTAACCGTCCGAAACACTGCATTTTGGCAGGGACAAGTGGCACGCATACCGTATGCGTTTGTATATATCATCAGAACGTTAAACTTATTTTTAAAACACTACAAAGCAGACAATCACTCCCAGATGGTGTTGATTCCTATCACGATTTGTTTAAAAAAATAATTTGTCAAAATCCAAGTGAACAATGCTGGCTGCAGTGTTGCGAAAATTGTTCAGGAACGCAAATTTTGGCCACAGAACTAATGACTATTCTTAGTAACGGACATGTTGAATCAATACAATTCAAACAATGGCGTCAAGTAGAGAGATGCATTATGGACCTAGTTGAAATGGACACACAGGAATTTATTGATACTTTTTTAGAAAAATTATTCAATTTATTGCCGCATAACTTTATAGCTGAGCAAAAGGCAAATTACATGAAACACGTCAAAAGCAATTTGAAAGCTACAGAATGCATCATAATCTGTGATTTTTCGGAGAATTATTCTTTCGTTGTGCAGGATGCAGTTCAAGGCTTTCATTGGGTGAACGCCCAATGTACTATTCACCCTTGTGCTATTTATTTTAAAGACGAAGAATCTAACGATTTGAAATTTACTAGTTTTATTGCAATTGCTGATTTCACTAAACATAATCATGTCGCAGTTCGTTTATTTCTTACGCATTGTCTAGCGTTCATAAAATGTAAATTTCCAAGCTTACAACAGATTTGCTTTTTCTCAGATGGATCAGGAAGCCAATATAAAAATAAGATGACCGCTTTTAATTTATGCAACATGCAAAAAGATTTTGGCATTGCTGCCGAGTGGAATTTTTTCGCAACTTGTCATGGAAAGGGCCCTTGTGATGCTTTTTTATTTATTTATTTATTTATTTATTTATGTCAAACTGGGGCCTGTTTTAAAGCCACGAAGACTTCAATGGGGGAGGGGAGTCCAGCCACAGTATACGCTCGGTAAAAATATTTTAAAATTTTAGTAAAGTATACGAGGGGGGAGGTAGGATCTGCAATGTTTAAAAATTGGTCTACGTGGTTTATGGACAGCCTCCAGGCTGAACTGAATGTTGCACCCAGCTTGTAAGTTACTCATGGATTTCATTAGTCACAGCTGCTGTGACTCGATGAAGACGCATTGTGAACTACCTTGCGTCTTCATCGTTTCCATGCACGTGTGGTGCATATATTGCGGAACAATAATTTTTTATTTAAAAAAAATCGTATCTCCAAAACTGCTTCTCCGACATCGCTAATTTTTTGATATGTTATGTAAAATTAAATGATCTTTCAATTAAAAATACTAAAATAAGAAGTTGTTGAAGACCCTCGTAGTGAAAATCAAGAAAAAGCATTTGTTACATTTTTTTTCTACAAAATCGAATATTTCTGAGTGTTTCATAATTTTTCTTAAAACTACATTAAAACATCTTTCATTTGAAGGGTCAATCGTAAAAATCGGTCAAGAGGTTCAGAAGTTATAAATTTTTGAAAAAAGACATTTTTGAAAAAAAAATTGATTTTTTGGACCACCCTAACACGGAAATGGTCACCCTAATGGCGCAATAAAAAAATACAAGTCTAATATTTTTTGATAAGGAAGAACTATACCAATTTTCATGAAATTCTGAGACCCACTATAACTTTTTTCTATGGAATTGCTGGAATATATATACACACATGAAATGCAAAGGGGAGGGATGGGACCACCAGGGCACCGGATTGAAGCGATTTAGATGGGGAGAGTGGAATTGCCAACTCCCTGTCATTAACATTTCGTGAATTGACGGCGGGCTCTTCTCCCCACTCATTGGGACGTTCCCTCGTATGATGGCTTGTTCTACATCGGGTTGTAGGATTTTATCATTGGAAGGCGATTCTCCTGATCCCGCGGATTGCGCGTAAGTGTATCTGCTTACGGGTCCGCCCCTCCGTTTTTGGCCCTTCTTACAATGGTAAATTGAATACAACCAGGTATCGTACTTGATCAAGTCATACTTGGAGGATGATCCACTGTCTAATGGCTGTGCCTTGCAACAATGAGTGGTATCCTTTACATCACATACATCACATCACGGACAAATATTGCTGCTGCTACAACTGACGGAGCTGCCGTAATGGTGAAGTTTGGAAGGGAGTCAGAGTTTTGTCACCAATTGTGCTACAACCATGGGCTTCATTTAGCGGTGATGGATGTCCTCCGGAAAGACAACTCTGCTATGACTGATTCCACAGACGATACCGATGATGACTGCAATTATGACGAATATTCCGATGAAGAAACTGACACACCATCTGGTATGTTATTTTTATTAATGTACTTTACTTGAACATTAGTTGTACTTTTATTTTTTAGCGCTTTATCGTACGCGTTTTATTGAAATTCTGAGGCATGTCCGAAAAATTGTCAAGATTTTTCGGCAATCGCCGGGGAAAAATGGGATCTTGCAAGATAAGATAATCGCTGCTCATACAAAACCGCTGCAATTGATAATTGACGACACGACTAGGTGGAACAGCACTGAACAGATGGTCGAACGACTCCTACGTGTCTATGAAAGCATCAAGGAGACACTAACTGAGCTTGGACAGCGCAATCCACTGTCTGACAATGACGTGCATAGTCTTCAGATACTTTTTGATGCATTGCAACCAATTAGATTGGTATCTGAAGCAATAGGCATACGAGATGCGACTCTGCTAACTGCTGAAGGTAGTTTGAGTTTTTTACTTTCGAAACTAAACCAGCAGAACATCGCAATTGCAAACGAGTTGCATGACGCCATTTACGACAGGATTTGTTCGCGACGAAATAAGGAACTGGTCTCATTTATGAAGTTTTTAAAAACTAAACACATGGGCTCAACCAGCGAAATGCCAACGTGCTCCAGGTCGCAGTTGATGAAATTTATGAAGGAATCTGATTGGTTACTTAATATGGTAGAACATGGGACAGAGACAGGAGAATCATCTAACTCTATCAATTCATCGATGGACCGGGAGAACCTAACTCTCCAACAAGAACTAGATTGTGTTATTAAGGAACATTCTGAACTACACAACGCATCAACTGATTCAGTAGACCGTGGAAAAATTATCCAAAAGGAGGTGATGTTGTATGAGCTAATCGGAAAATTGTCTAACAACTTGCAAAAACTGTTAGACAACTTAACATCCATTAAGCCTACCTCTACCGACAGCGAGCGAGTCTTCTCGGATTCATCAAATTTTTGTAACAAGAAGCGTTCCTCTTTGTCTGATGCTAGCATGAATGTGCTTTCATTTTTTAAGTCATATTTCAAAAGAATTGATCAGTAGATATGTACGATTTCGCAGAAATGCATAAAATAAAATGGATGAATAAAAATGTGAGAAGAGGTTATTGAAATTTGCAGTTGTTTATTTATCCCGGGATTTCCCGGGAAAAAAGTTTTTGATATCCCGAATCCCGCGATGCTGAGAACCGTCGGGATATGGAAGCTCTAGGCACAGCCAAAGCACTCGGTACAGATTAAGGTGTGCAGAGTTGAATACCCCTCGGGTGGAGATATATATCAAACTTCAAATAACTAAACTACTATGTACAGGTCTCAAAGAAGCATACAATGAGCTCGGAAAATATATCGTAAATAAGTTATTTTGTTTAAAGTCGTTCTCCAAGGTTTTAAGCCAACATGACTCGTTTTTGAAAATTTATGGCGTCAAGAAGTTACGTTATTGTAATTAGAACTTTTCGTTGGCAATACATAATATGATATCCTTAATTCATCTGAACTTTATGAAGTGACTTCTAAGCGAATTAAGCTTCCGATGTGCGAGAACAACAAAACAGCCGCTCAGATGGGGCAAAAACTGCAATCAATTTATAATTTAATAATTTTATAGTTGCATAAATGTTTAATTATTTGAAAATTTTAGTTTTTTTTTCTCGGGATCCTGGGAATGCAAAACTGGTTGCCAGTGAATTTAAATATTTTTAAATTTATATTTACATAAGCAATCATCTCTCGATTCACCCTTTATCATTTGAATAAAGTCATATGAAAAAGAAATAAGCTAAAAGATAACAGACTAAGTCTGCTTAGTCGAAACTAGGACAAATTTATTTATAACGTGTATGAATTTTAAGACCGAGCACCAAAAATCTGCTCATGTCTGTGTTGGCATTCTTCTTTTCACTGTGGCAGATTATTTTTTTCAGCATACTCCGACCAGGAACCGACGTAGTTCTTCACACTAAATATTAAAAGGAAAGTCAATTAATGTTCACCAAACTTTCGGAAGATCTTTCAAACGCATACTTAGTAAAGCCCAGCTGCTCGGCAATGTGGGCCGCTTTACCGGATCGCACACCGATGCGGCAGCAGAAGATGATAGGACTATCGGTGGCTGGCATCGTACGACCATACTTGCCCTCAAATTCCTTCGGGCTAAGTTTCAACTCCTCAACGACGTGTTTGACTGAAATAAGCTTCAATGAATTCCAATTTCCTAAGATGAAGAAAATAAAACCTACGAGGAATATTGATGCTGGTTGGAATGGCCCCAGAGGCGGCAAGCTCGCTCGGTGGGCGTACATCGATCAGCAGCACTTCGGGGTGTTTCGGCAGGGCAACGATGTCGTCGTAGGTGGCCTTCAAGCGGGGATCAATCTGACTCGGTTCGAACTTGTTCTTGGCACATTGGTCACCGTAGTGACGGATGGTTCCTACGATTTTAATTATTTGAAATTTTTAAATTTCATTTTTTATTTTGCATACTCACCGTGAGCGGCCGAAAGTGAATCTTGCAATTTCTCCAACATGCGAGTGCCACAGTAGCCGCTGACCGGCGCGATGTTGGAAACTGTGATGCTGTGCGATCGTACGTTTCTAACTTGCTGTGCAAGTTGTGTCCTGGCAAGGAATGGCTGAAGTAGGATTCTCAATCCACTTCGGTTCATTTTGATTTGATGTTTTACACACGAGAACAAGAAAATTGAAGGCGGCTTTTTCGACTGGTAGCAGAAAAGATATTTATTTACCTCTCTACTAGGATGCCGGATGGTGCGATGTATTGGTTTGCGTTTGCAGTGGTTTAAACAGTGTTATGCAACTTATATTTACGATAGCTGAGGTTGCTCAGTTGGGAAGTTCTTTTGTAGATTGCACGATGCTATGAGATAGCTGAATTTGTGTTGATATGGTGCGTACACATGCGCACGGTTTGACATTGTGGATAGGAGTGTGTGGCCAATAACACAGAGATGATTGTGAGAGTGAACTGCGAGTTTTAGCTCGAAAGCTTCAGGTGATTGCCTATCACCCATATTCTCGTTTTCGTATGAACCGTTTTACCAAACAAAAATAATGTTTTATTTTAATGAATACCGTGGTCCAAACTTAACGTATTTTTGTACTATTCCCGCACAGATTAGTTCGATTGCTAGTTTAATGAATTTCCATAACGTGAAATCAGATTTCAATGACAGGCCATGACAACTTTTTATGACTTGAATATCCCGAGTTTGCTGATGTATGTCATGTGGATATTTGTTCGAGAGCTTTTTTCGTTTTTTGACGTTGGATAACGTCTTTCGGCAACATACGGGGGTACAACGATAATAACTCAACCGTCTCTCGATAGATTTACGAGATAATGGCATCAATCGATTGGAAATATTTCTAGCAATTTGCTGAATGTTTCAAACTATTGATTTCATTCTGTAAACTATTGAAAACTGGTTAAAAGTAAACCATTGTCTAAAGATGGTGAAAATCGATTGATTTTTTTATATTCTTATACTTTCTCCAACCGAGACATCAGATGCGAGTATCTGACACCTCTGATATTTTCTGTTCTACTTTATAAGCGTCCAACAAGGTCGCCCGTTCCATCATTGTCTATCCGATCGTCGACCCAGCAGCAGAGCAACGGCAGCAGAGCAGCGGCAGCAGAGCCTGGGGGCGAAAGGGCAACTACGTCGAGTGCGTTGGTACCAGTGCTCCGGTATACTGGGCCGCCGTCATGGAATGCCCAGCTGCTGCAGTTCTCAGTCGGTCGTATTCACCGTCTGCTACGCAAGGGCAACTACGCCGAGCGCGTTGGAAAAATGGCCCTTTTCAGGGCCACAACATTATCAAGAAAGAGTTTAACGATTAATTTCCTAATGCCTTTCCGACACTTGAATATCGAAAGTTGAATCTTCGCAGAGCCATAGATTCCATTTTTATTGCATTTCTACAAAACTTATTTCAGAATCGAACTCGTCTTCACAGACTGTGTGAAGAAGAACGATGCATCATCGAGCACAACCCGTTCCGTTCCAAAATCGTCCTCATCACAACCTCCAAAACAACCATCTACCCTCTCGACATCTCGAGTGGATTTCCCGGTTCATCATACCACCTAGCGCTGTTCTACTGATTGGTAATAATATTTACCCGGAGTTCACCGCACTCGTGGTTGAAGCAAAGCGCCCAGCATGCAAACCGCTCATCAAAATCTCCATCGCCATCCGGTACCCATGCTCGGCATAACCATCATTCCAAAACCACAACCAAAACGGCCCTTTTCAGGGCCACCAATAATTCGACAAAGAGTTAGTTTTGAAGACAATTTCTTTCCAGAATATCACAGTTACACTTAAATTTGGGGACTATACTGGGGTGTGGGAACGCTGGAAGGGGAGATTCTGTCTGTCTTCGAACTACCAACATCATTCCAAAGCTCCTCCAGGGCGACAGAGTAGAGCAAACCCAACAACATCAGCCCAACAAAACGGCCCTTTTCAGGGCCACCAAACTTTCGCAAAAGAGTTATTAAGGAATATTCCTAAAATATAATGTACACAATTAAGTGCAACACATAACATACGTTATCCAACGCCAACCCTGCGGTCGTATCTAGTATACAACCCTTCCAACTTTTTGTTTTTGTTTTAGTCGTTTGGATTTTCATTTAAGTTTTCCTGGATTTATTTCAGGCGTAAACATCCCCTTCCCCCGATTATATTTTGTTTGAAGTTTGAAGTGTGCTACACTGGCTCAAGTTGATTTCTAAACTTGCCTTCAAAACGGCTCGTAAATTAGTTATAAGGCTAGATTTTCTAAGGCCTTAAGGTTGATTAGTTCAATAGACTTGAAGTGAACTAAATAAAAATCAATAGAAATCCCGTTGCGCAAATCACCAGGACGGGATTTCATTATCACTTTAATTACTTGGAGCGGCTCAACTCCAAGTATTTTTGTCAATTCATCATTGATCTCATCCAGGGACCACTGGGCAGACCTTTCAAGACAACCTTGAACAGACGTTCTGTTTTGGTGTCGTGAGTGAATAATGTGTATTGCTTCTCAGCAAGATACTTGAGAAGACGTTTGAATCCGTCCAAGGTTTCAGCCAATTTGAAGTGAAAACTTAAATTTAACAAAGTTCAACAGTTCCGGCAATCCGGAAGTAGTTATCACAATAGAGGGAAATATTTTCCTTCTTGGCATTAAACCAGGAATGCTTAATGGATTTTTTTTCCTTTATTAAAGAGACTTTCAGCCTTGGGCTGGTTCGTCTCTGGCTGCTTAATGGATTTTTTCCTGGATGATGGATCATTCTCATCATCCGTGAGCATATCAAATTGATTGCTCAAATGAATTTTATCAGAAAGGAGATCAGTCGAGATCAGAACCAAGTTTCTCCAAATCGATTTCCAAGCAGATTACTATAAGAATCCGAATGATCAAAGAGAATTTTTCCCAGTAGATAGCCAAGCATGATAACCTCGGGTAGGGTCCAAACAAGGATCGAACCCCGTAACGTGGGTAGATCACCTTTTCGTGGTACGTTACGGGATGTAAGATCTACCACCGATTCCTAGTCCTGACTACTTCTTCAAACTAGGGGAACAGGGGGTTTTCAGTAATCAAAGAAACACATCTTAGTCCTTGTTACTTTTTATGATGGATTAAGCCTACTCCGGCAGAGAGTTCTCCCGGCTTCGTCTTTCACTTCGTACTTGTGTGAGCACATTACTACTTTCTAGCTGGTATTCTTGCCAAGAGATTTTTAGACGAGCTCCTTAAAAGCTGTGCTCTTAACCGCAGGGTTCCTTTTCAGCCCAAATAGCTAGCATCTTGCCTTTCTGGATTCGTCTGGTTTTCACCACGTTCTCGCCTAGTTGTTTCAACTTCGGATCCTATCTCACTTTCCGGAGAAGTGCTGCGTAGGACGTTTTATTCTTCGCCTCAACAACCAGAGCGTCACCCTTGCTTCTCTCCCTCCGAGGCCTATAGGCTATAGACTTCTCCTTGTTCTTCCTGTCTTCCTTCTTCTTCTCTTCCTTCTAACTCGCTTCCTTTTCCTTCTTCCTAACTTCATCTTCCTTCTGTTTTTTCTTCCTCTCCTTCTGGTTCTCGACTTTACGCCACCCACCATTTTCTCCCATCTCCTTGATGCCTTCCTCGTCGTTCCTGACGTGTCCCTATCTCTCTGTTAAGGACGTGGAATTGTGGGTCCCTTCGGCGTCTCATGTGCTTCCGCCAGTCTTATGCGTTCCTTGGCCTCCAAGAGAGCCTTTTCGGCATTTTCGGCTCTTTTCTCCACTCTTGGAATTCTCGATCTGCCACTGGGGATTTTGTAGCAAAAAGGCTTGAAATTGTCTGCCGCTCAAACCACACATTGTAACATATGACTTCCTTTAGGAAAAATGTCAAGAATTTTATTCTGCATATTTTCAATTGGCGCACGTGGTGATAAGTGCATGTGTGGAGCCTATTTTGCCCCAAAATCCCGTATTTTCTGTAGTTCTGTCCCATTATGATACTTCACTGATTCAAATGGTCAGTAACTTTTATCAGAACTAGCCAATTTGTCTTCTAGTAGTCAGCTTGTGCCTTTTAAAAACTATTGATAACATTTATACGGGAGCATGGGGTCAAATATGCCAGATTTTGTAATGAAATATAAAAGTTTTCCGAATTTAAACTCAATACTAAAAAAAAAAAAATTGATGCTCAGAAAGTGGATTACAATAGTCTAGAGGACAAAAATGATTCAAATGCATGTTTTGAGCGTATTTTGCCCCGGTATCTCATATCAAAACAAATTTTTTTGAAAGATTTCGGATGACTGAACAGTTCCTGCCGCTGAAATGCTAACACGAGACTTAGGTTTTCTTGCGGTAAAAAGGAATCAAAGCATCAAATGTGCTTGTTTTCATACTGTGTACGGACAAATTAATACATGTTTAGCGCCTGATTTACCCCAAAATCCTCTATCAATTGAAAGCATTTAAACTGGTTTATTGGCTTGAATAGACAATAAATTTCTTTAGAAATTTCCAAATATACCATTTAGAAGTCAGTAAGTGAGCTTTGATTAACTATTGGAAACATTTAAAGGAGAATGTGGGGTCAAACAAAATACAAAATACTCAGTAAATTGGTTGCAATAGTCTATCAAGTTAGCAATATGTTTAGACTGCCAATCAAAGATGGTTATCACCAGGCATTCGGAAAACTTTTATATTTTATTACAAAATTTGACTTATTTGACCCCATGCTCTCCTATAAATGTTATCAATAGTTTTAAAAGGCACAAGCTGACTACTAGAAGACAAATTGGCTATTTCTGATAAAAGGTACTGACTATTGAATCAGTGAAGTACTGGGACAGAATTACAGAAAATACAGGACAGAACTACAGAAAATACGGGATTGTGCGGCAAAATAGGCTCGACACATGCACCGCGTGCGCCGATTGAAAATATTCAGAATAAAATTCTTGACATTTTTCCCAAAGAAAGTCATATCTTACAATGTGTGGTTTGAGCGGCAGACAATTTCAAGCCTTTTTGCTGCCAAAATCCCCACTGTGACTGTTATGCCAGATTTGATTCCGGTCACAAGTTGCTTGATCTCTTTGGGTACGTTGTTTTTATCCTGCACGAACACATAGAGTTCACCGATGTTCCTCCTGATCTCC